GCGCCTGACCCTCACGAATTGCCGGGTGGTCTGGGCGCTGGACAAGGCTCGCGCGCGCGGCTGCGGGCGAAGGCGGCGTCGGGGTGCTGGTCCGCCTCCTTTGCCTCCTCTTCCGCCTCCCTTTTCTTTCTCCTTCACATTCTCTTTCTCTTTCTCTTTCTCTTTCTCCTCCTCCTCCTCCTCCTCCTCCTCCTCCTCCAGCCCGCCCACCCGTCCGTTGAGACATCCTCACAACTCTGGGTTCGGAGATGCCGCGCGAGAGCTGGTCTGGCCAGTTCCGCCTGAGACATCCTCGCAACACTGCGCGCTGGCCACGTCCCTGATTGGGAACAGTACTCTCGCCTCAACGCCGCCCACATCCTTCATTCGGTACGTATGTTGTTGCCGCTCGAGTGTCAGCCACATCCGTGAATGGGAATAGTGCTCTCGCCTGGGTTCTGGCTACATCCCCGTCTGGGATTGGTGCCGTCGCCTGAGCGATGGCCATATCCCTCATCATTAGGCGTGATGCTCTCGCCTCAGCGCCGGCCACATCCCCAAGTGGGTCTTGTGCTGCCGCTCGAGCGCCAGCCGCAATCACATGCTGGGGTCTTATGGTATGCATCTTGTCCGGGTTGTCTGGGTTGTCTGGGGGGTAGTCCAGGGATTTTGTTTGATCAGTTTTTTCATTGAACATAGTAGCGCAAATCGGCGGCCGGCGAGGGGGGGAAGTGGGAAGGATAAGGCCTTCTCAGAAGGCCTCCTCAGATGGCGGCGGGACTTTTGAGAGGCCCTCGCGCCTTCTAAGAAGTTTTCAGTGTCTTCGGGGCAGGCCCAGAACACTTCTTCAGAAAGCCCGGGGGACTTCGGAGACTTTTCTGAGAAGGCCTTCTCCTCCTCCCTTCCCCCCTAGGTTCGCCGCCGAGCAGCAAGGTGGAGGATGAGGAGGAGGCGAGGCGAGGCGAGGTGCGGGGCCGAGAGATGCGAGGCGAGGAGAGGCGAGGCGAGGCGAATGAGGCGAGGCGAGGCCAGGGAGGCGGAGGAGGCGGCGAGATCTGGCGCCGAAGCTCTGCGGGCGGCGGGCGGCGGGTCCCCCCCCCCCCGCGCGCCGGGGGGCGCGCAGGACCGGGCCACCTACAACGTGAGCGTGCCGCACCGCGCCTACGTCCCGAGCCTCACGGAGCCCCTGCGCGCGCTGGCGCGCGCGCTCCCTCCGAGACCCCCCCGTCTTGAGTCGGGCCTGTCCCTCTACAGGAGGAGTATCCAAGAATAGTAAAAAAATATCCCAGTGCGACCCTACCTAGGAGTTGGAGCCCCTAGGAAAGCAGCATTAGTAGTAACAGTAAAGCTAAGCTAAAGCTAAGCTACAGCTAAGCTACAGCTAAGCTAAAGCTAAGCTACAGCTAAGCTACAGCTAAGCTACAGCTAAGCTAAAGCTGAGCTAAAGCTGAGCTAAAGCTGAGCTAAAGCTAAGCTAAAGCTAAGCTAAAGCTAAGCTAAAACTGAGCTAAAGCTAAGCTAAAGCTAAGCTAAAGCTAAGCTAAAGCTTAAGCTAAAGCTAAAGCTAAGCTAAAACTAAGCTAAAGCTAAGCTAAAGCTAAGCTAACGCTAAGCTAACGCTAAGCTGAAGCTAAGCTAAAGCTAAGCCAACGCTAAACTAAATCTAAGCTAAAGCTAAGCCAACGCTAAACTAAATCTAAGCTAAAGCTAAGCCAACGCTAAACTAAAGCTAAGCTAAAGCTAAGCTAAAGCTAAGCTAAAGCTAAAGCTAAAGCTAAAGCTAAAGCTAAAGCTAAAGCTAAAGCTAAAGCTCCCAGGGGACTGGGGGAACCGCGGGGCGGGGACTGGGGGAACCGCCCGGGGCGCTTTGCACTGCCCGGCCCCTTTAAGCTAAGAGAGTAAGAACCCTTCTAGGCAGAGCCTAGGTAGGGAATGATCTGGAGACGAACTGCCTCTGAGTTTTGGGCTGTTTTTGTGCGTATCTGTTCGACTATTTTCTAGTTCTCCTCGAAAATCCGCCTGTAGGAGGACGGGCGTGCTCTGCTGCCCCCCCCTCTCTCTCGATCGCTCGCTCTCCCGCCCCCTCCCCCCTCGCTGGCTCTGCGCTTCCCTCCCCTCGCTGTGCTCCTCCTCCTCCTCCTCCTCCTCCCTCCTCCTCCGCCGCCTCCTCCCTCCTCTCCTCCTCCTCCCTCCCTCCTCCTCCTCTCACCTCCTCCCTCCTCCTCCTCCCTCCTCCTCCTCCTCCTCCTTCCTCCTCCTCCCTCCTCCCTCCTCCCTCCTCCTCCCTCCTCCTCCCTCCTCCTCCCCCTTCCCTCCTCCATCGCTGCCGCCCGCGCGTGCCTCTGCCCCGCTCTGGCGCTGCGGCTGCCCACACGCCCTGCAGTGCGCTTCTGCCGCTCGTCGAGCCGTCCTGCGCTGGCGGCTCGCATGTGCCCCTCGCCTCCGTCGTCTCCTCCTCGTCCTCCCCTCCTCCCCCTCCTCCTCCTCCCTCCTCCTCCTCCTCCCTCCTCCTCCGCCTCCTCCTCCTCCTCCGCCTCCTCCTCCTCCTCCGCCTCCTCCTGCGCTGGCGGCTCGTACATTGCGGCTCGTGGGTGCCCCTCGCCTCCGTCGTCTCCTCCTCGTCCTCTCCTGTTCACGATCTCTCAGCTGAACGTTGAAGTGGCAAGCTCGGGCTGATGCAGACCTGCCGCATCGTGAAAAAGTCCCCGACCTTCTCGCGTCTTTGTTTCAGGGGGGAGGTTCAGCCGCGTGGTGGGAGGCTTCTCAAGTTTTGCGATGTGCGCCAGCGGTGGGCTCAACCCAGCTGTTTCTGTTCGGATCTAGACTTGTGGGGACGATCAATGGAGAGGAAGCATGGCGCCAAATACTTTCCAGACGTCTACAACATGTCTTGCGCATGTTTTGCACATGTTCCATACATGCTTAACGCATATGTAGACCGTTTTTTTTCCCACATTTCGAACACATTTGCCATTCAATGATCGGACTGTTAGGGTGTCCATTGCCGTGGCATCCACATATCCAGACCTCGGGGAGGCCAGGCCTGAGCGGTGCGGGAGGCGGTCCGTTTCTGGAAACGACCCGTGCGTGCCGTGCCTGCTCCCGCCTCTTGGAATACAGCCCTCCCGGATCTCGCGCCGCGGAGCAGGATCGGGAGCCTCGAGACGGGGGTCAATGCAGACGGGGGTCAGCCACGGCACCTGGGTCAGAAGATCCCGGACCCGGGTCTTCTGACCCGGGTGCCCGGGTCAGAAGATCCCCGACAGGAGAGGAAGAGGGATCCCAGAGATTTTGGAGTTGTTTTTTGAGGTTCTTAGGGTCTAGGGAGGAAAAACCAGCCAGACCGGACAATCAGCGTTTACTCAACCGCCCTGGGCGTTTACTAAACAGCCCTGTCCTGTTCGATTCCTTCTTAGGGTGTGTTTACTAAACGGCTTCGCGTGTCGGGGTGGTCATCATCGTTTGTTGTTGTTGCTGCTGCTGCTGCTGTTGTTGCTGTTATTGTTGTTGTTGTTGTTGCTGCTGCTGCTGCTGCTGCTGTTGAACACTATTACTTCTAAAGAATTATTATTGTTGGACCCCCTGGTGCACGCCCCCCGCCCAAAACCTAGGCCGCAGCTACATTTTCATCATTTTTCTGCGAAAGCTTCAGAAAAGTGGATTACCCCCGGATCCGGTTTTTTGTTGACGCTCGTTTTCCCTTGCAAAAAACAATAGAAAATGAAAATTCTTGTTCTTAGTTGATCAAATTTCAAGAATCCCTTGCAAAAAATAAGGTAAAGTGGACATTCGCGCTCGCAAGACGAAATCCTTCCAAAACCTTAGGTTTCGTAACGATTTTAACATAAAAACATCAAAAACCCAATGGTTTTTTAAGAAAAAATTGTCAAAATGTCCTTCCGCGCGCTCTTGCGGATTCATAGGAAACACACCACTTTTTAAACATTTCTGTCAAAAGGGTCTTTGCGTGCTACTTCTTCAGGTGCTTTGAACTTCTCCAACAACGGTTGCGCGCCTGCGAGGGCCACCATCCCTTGCAAAAAATGAGACGAAGTGCACATGCGCGCGGCCGCCGCGCGCGCATGTCGAAATCCTGCCAAACACAATGGGTTTTCAATAATTTCAAGATGCGATGTTCAGAAAACATATGAAAACGCACTACTTTCTCATCCGAAAAATCTCGAAATCCATTCGCGGTCTCTTGATGAATCTTTAAAACCCAAGATGGCCCCAACAGGCGCGCAAGATGGCCCCAAGAGGCGTCCATGAGGCCCAAAGAGGCGCCCAAGATGGTCCCAAGAGGCTTCAAGAGGACTCCAAGAGGCCCCCAAGAGGTTCCAGAGAGGCTCCAAGGTGGCTCCAAGAGACCCCCAAGATGGCCCCAGGAGGCGTTCTAGAGGCCCCAAGAGTCCGCCGTGAGGGTCCAATAAGCCCCCAAGAGGCCCCAAGATGGTTCCAAGGAGCCCCCCAAAGGCTCTCAAGTGGACCCCAAACCGCGCCAGGAGGCTTCCCCCCTTCCCCAAGAGGACCCCAAGCGGCCCCAGGAAGGCCCCCGACTGCTGACGCACATATCCGTAGCCATCTCGGATCAAGGTATCGCCTGTGTTCTTGGATCATGGCTTTGACGGCGAAAGACCTTCACGAGCAGTATGGCCCTGAGCTGTCGCGGCCTCCCTTGGCCGACTGCGAGAGTGCGTATTATTTGCATCAGGCGCTCCGGGCAAAGGGTATCAATGCTAGTCACCAGGCGTGCAAGACTTGGTGGGCCAAGTATCGGGTTGTGACTGGCACGGTCAGTATTTCTAGCGCCAAGGAGCTGGAGGAGCAGCACGGCTCTGCCATCCGCCACCTGGGCATTGAGTATAATACCGCTTTCAAATTATGCCGGGCGCTCCGACAGTTGGATCCACCACTGTATGTGCCAGATAGGGTCGCAACGGCGTGGCTACTGCAGTATTCATCCAAAGACACGCTTGTCCAAGTGCAGAACGCTGGCCACTTGGAGACCTGGTATGGAGAACGTATTCGCAAAGACATGCCCGAGGGGACCACTGACGGGGCCGTCTTGAAGCAGTGGCTCCTGAGACCAGTGGTGGTGGTTGCCCGTATGGCGGTCGTATGGTCAGAGCGACGAGCTTCCGAACATGCTCGATTACCAGGCCTTGCCACCGCAGGTCCACAACGTGCTCGCGGTAGCACTGCCGTATGCAAGCACCGGCCTTCCCGCCAGCAGGCGTATCGGCAATCTCATTGGGCATCTGGGACCGCACGGGTATCAGCCAGGCCCGCACGTGTATCAGCCAGGCAGCCGGGCACCCACGCGCCCGCTCCGCGCCATCGCAGACGACGATGCGTCGCGCCTTTAGTATGCTTCTGGATGCGAAGACCATTCGGTTGAGTATACCCCTACGTGTGACTGGACCTGTTTGCGAAAGCAGGAGAAAGTATGGCACCCCTTTGTGTCCAGAGCCGCGCCGTCTGCGTTCTTCCTTTCTCGCTTCTCTCCTTTCCTCCTTGTCCTGCTCCTCCTCCCCCTCTTCCGCCTTGGAGCCGTATTGGAACTGTCGATGGCCATCTCCCTTTCTCCCTCGCATGTCTGCTTGTACATACGTATAATTTCAGAACTTACCGTGCATGCGATCGTTTACAACATGGTGGACCGTGCGTATGTCACGAACCTTGTATACATGTGTTTCTCTCCCTCCGTCTGGCTGTGCACGCGCGCGTTGGGCACTGAGAGTTAGGATCATAGCGCCATGAGTCTATGAGCAATGCATGCGTCATCCTTGGGACTGTATAACATCAGTGTAACACATGTACTTCTGCAATCGCATCCCCACGAATTTGCCCCAAAAATGTGACCAACTATCTTGGCACTGCGTACCATCTCACGTGTACCGTGTACCACATCATATGTAACAGATGTGATCAACCTCTGTGGGTGTGTACCCCACGCCAGTGTAGTAGCCAGGGTCGTCCGCACGCCACGAAGTGAAGTGTCCCAACGTCATAGGGCGGGAAGCTGGGTGTGGGTGGTCTCGAAGAGTCGTTTGGATATTTGGTAGAGCTTGAACGGCCCCCCCACGAAGTGGGGGTATTGGCTGGTGTCGCAAGAAAACCCTGGCACTGGGGAGAACACTGAGCGTTCGGGTAAAATGATTGTTGTTGTTGTTGTTGTTG